ATTGCTCACTTGGCAAGTGCCTCTAAGGACAAGTTAAAAAATATGAAGCTACAATCAGTTTGACTCAAAAGAAACAAAAATAGCCTGAAAATGATAAATCATCCAATTGTTATATTTGTGAAAATCTAGGACACACAAAGAGAGATTGTATTAAATACCACACTTGACATGTAAAGTAAAGTACACTTCTCACTTTGGTATGTTATGTGGTTAATTTAGTTTCAGTGCCTAGACACACTTAATGGATAAATTTTAGTGCCACCACTGACATAAATACATCTATGTGGGGTTGCTGAATAGTCGAAAGTCAATTGATGCCTAAAGGTTCATCTATATAGGGGATGGCAAAATAGTTAAAGTTGAGGCTATATGAACTTTTGAGTTATTATTAAAGATTGGTTATTATTTGAATTTAAAAGAGAAGTTTGTGGTACCATCTGTTAGATGAAATTTACTCTCTATTTCTATATTGGACAAATTCGGTTACTCTTATTCATTTGGAAAGAGTCAGTGTGATCTTTTTATTAATACAAATATTGTGGGTATCAGTTCTTTATCTTATTATGTTAACCAATATTTGCTTAATTTGGTTACATCTTAAAAAGAAACCTTGCTTGTGAATTCATGTAATATTAAACATAAATTAACCATGAAAATTTTGCTTCATTATGGTACAAGCGATCAAGTCACATCTCTCAAAAGAGAAAGAAATAGCTTGTATCAGAAAGAATTCTTGATTCCCTGATTTTATGGACTTTAATGTTTGTGTTAATTATATTAAGGAAAAACAGACAAACATAAGGAGGTTATGTGCTAATAGAACTCTAGACGTTTTAGAACTAATTGATATGAATATCTGTGAACCACTCTCTTCGACCTCTTGGAACAATCAATAGTCACATATTTCGTTTATAGATAATTATTCTTGCTATGGCTACCTGTGTATTGTTCGTAAGAAATTCCAATCACTAGACATGTTTAAGACTTATGAGGTAGAAGTTGAAAATCAACTCTCGCAAAAGAATAAAACAAGTCGGATCTGATTGTGGCGGTGATTACTATAGCAGGTATGACAGATTATGAGAACAATGTCCAAGTTCTTAACTTCCCAAAGAAATATGGAATCATCCTATAATACACCAAAATCTCTGTAGGAAGAACCACTAAACACTACTATTTAAATTCTCAATAAAGTTTCAAATGAAGCAATTGTCAAAAACTCTTATGAGCTTTGGATAAGCAAGAAGTTTAATTTAAAACACTTGCACATTTGGGGTTGTCCAGTTAAGGCAAGGTCTTATAGGCCATCGAAAAATAAATTGGACTCCAGAATTATCAATTGCTAGTTTATTAAATACTTGGGGTTGTCCAGTTAAGGCAAGGTCTTATATGGTCAAAGAGTTACAAATTTAAGATCACACCATTAGGTCAAATGCCATTAAGGACAAGTCTCAAAAACAAATACCATTAAGGAGATTCACTGAAGAAAAGAGAAAGGCAGTTTGAATGACTTTATAGTCTTTCATCAAGAAAATAAGAATGATATTGTATTGAAAAAAGAAGACATGATCAATCAACTTTCATCAAGTAATGCAAAGGAATAATTCTCAATAATGGATTGATGCTAATAATAAAGAAATAAAGTTCATGAGTGACAATGAAGTTTGGGAACTCATCCTATTGCCCGAAGGTGCGAAACCTATTGGTTGTAAATGAATATTTAATAAGGCTTGTCTTGTTGCAAATAGTTTTACTCAAAAGGAAGGCATTTACTTTAAAGAAACCTTCTCTCTAGTTTCAATGCAAGGCTCTTTTATGACAATTATGGCACTTGTGACACATTTTTTTTTATCTTAAGCTACGTTAGATAGTTTACAAATTAAGGAAATTCATCTATGAGCTTATGTAGGCTTCCCATCAATGATATCACAAATTTCATCAAATAATTATCTCGTTTGATTTTGTGATGAGCTTAATTGATGGTTGTCTATATCACAAGATCAATAGGAGTAAATATATTTTTCTGGTATTGTATATCGATAATATAATGCTTGCCTGCAGTGATATAAGTTTATTGCATGAAATCAAGAGATTCTGTTATGAAATTTTGAAATGAACGATCTTGGTGATGCCTCTTTTATATCAAGGATACAAATATACCGAAATTGTTCTCGAGGCATTTTTGAATTATCGCAAAAGAGTTATATTGATAAGGTTATTAAAAATTTTGGAATGTAGGAATATAAACCAAATGATATCCCTACTGCTAAGGAAGATAGGTTGAGTCTCAACCAATGCCCTAATGATAAGCTTAAAGAAAATAAAATATAGAAAATTCCGTCTAAACAATTGGGAGCTTAATATATATTTAGATTTGCACACATCTGAATATAGCATCCATTCTAGGAATGCAAGGCAGATGTTTAAGTAACCGTGTGATTGATATTTGGAGAGCAACTAATTGGGTTATTTGGTATCTATAGAGAACTACGGATTACATGATCACATTCAAGAAAATAAGATTAATTAGAGATCATTGGATATTTTGATTATGATCGTGGAATATGATTGTGAAATTTTGTCATTAGGATGCTTATTTTGGATGGAATTGAAAGATCACTTAAGTTATTCTATGACAATAGCAGTCTTATATTTTGTAGAAGCTTGATAATGTCAAAGTTTACAGACTTTAAGTTCCTCATTGTCAATGAAAGAATTCAGTGTGTTTAGGTTTTTTATGGAACACATTAGGACAAACTCTATAAATGCAGATTTGCTTACTAAAGGGTTATCACCTAAGGTCTTTTATGACATACTGCTTGCATGGGTGTTGGATCTTTTGATGATATTCATAAATAAAAGTATTCAGTTCAGTTTTCCTCTGATAAAAGTTTAAGGTTGATCTTATTAAAAAATAATGTAGAACCAGTTGGAAATAATGCATGTTTGGATCACACTACATGTCATTTACATGCTATACATCCATACTTAATCAATATCATTTGATTGTGTTGATATACATAACCATTGATGGATTTAGTTATGATATTTGTAACGAAAATCACTTTGATCCTATATTGATATAATTACTGGAAGAGATTGTTCGGGGATGCTTTATTTGTTATGACAGCAAAAGTTTTGAGCTCATAAGATTATATACATTCATAAGGTAACATTGTGGTCCAAGTGGGAAATTGTTGAGAAAACTACTAATTGTCATGCAGGCCTACACATATAATTAATTGTGTATAAATGTTATCTTAAATTTAGCTAAAGTAGTTTAATAAAAAATTAAGTAATTGAGTTTTGGACATCTAAATAAAGTGTGGATCGAATTATATTTGTAAAGACCGGATCCATTAAAGTTGTGTTTCCTTGATGGACGAAAATACACATGGAAATATAAATAATATTATGATCCCTAATTCAAATGCAGCTTCTCATTCCTTGTGCCTCTCATTAACACAAAAATAATTAAGAGAAAAGATATTAAAAAAGAAAAATTAGTACCCACAATCAAGAATCAAGAGGAAGAAATTTAGGAATCAAAACTATAGATCAAGAAGTAGAACCAAGAACAAGAATTAAAGAATCAAATGAGACAAAATTGAAGATTAAAAGTGTAGAAGTCAAATATGAAAAAAAGTTGCAGTTAACGCTTCAAAATTCAAGATTTGAAATCAAGATCCAATAATAAAGAATTATTCTCAATAAATTAAGGTATGTTCTGCATTCAATAATTTTCTTGAGGATTTGATTGGAGGATCTTTGCAATGAAGAAATTTAAATTTCAAGTTCTAAAGCTTCTAGTTTTAAAATTTCATAAAATATTCAACAACCAATTGTTTGATTTAGACACTTGGTTTAATGATCATAAAATGGATTATGTAAGTTACCCTTTTCTTTTTTTTTTTTTTCTGTTTGTTTGATTATCCCAGGTTTGAGTTATTTTAGTTTTTATTATTATTTCTAACTTCTATTAAAAACGTGAATGGGATGGCACTGTAGACACAACAGTAAACCAATCCCATTTTACTGTTCATGCGCTTTTCCCTATTTTTTTTTGTTGTGAATAAAAAAAAAATTCTTTATTTCGACCATGCCAACAACCATGCTAACCATACTCCACCACGATACTCCTTATTTTCCTTTTTTATTCTTTTTATTGATATTTTCATTCCAACTTTTTTGTGAAATCTCTTCTTGTTGGATCACATATTCTCACTTCATCTTTGATTCTCTTTTCCTTTTTTCTTGGCTTTTAAGCTTGCTGTAGGCATGGAAAACAACAACGTTGGATACCCACATGTACAGAGGTTGATTTTCTTCGATCCATATTTGATGGAGGAAATAAAAGTCCTAATAATGCAGAAGTTCTACATATAGTCTCCACCTTATCCTTACACAATCCTGTTATTTCTGAAAAAAATGTTTGTGATTGGTTTAAGAATAGATGAACTTGTGAAAGAAAGAGAAAGCACACGTGCATTGAGAATCCTCAACTCAAAAATCTGATGCATGAAGTGCAACCTTCTTCTGCAGATCGACGTTTACGAACGTTCAGCTTAACAGGTTGTATTTAGTAGTGTTTATAATTCTTTGGGTGCTTGTATTTGTTTTGATTAGATTTTGTCAAAAAAAAAAAATGAAGTGCCGAGAGTTCAACTTATTAATTTTATTTGGCAATTTGAACAAGCTAATTTTGTAGTTATTTTTTTATATAATAATTATGTTTAATTTTTAGTTTAATTTGTTATTGTTATTGTCAGATAAAATTTTTTGAATTCCGCATTGTGCGGAGAGTGTGTGGAGAGTGCTGAGGAAAAGTGATGTCTCCGCACAATTTGTAGAGATGAATTCATCTCTGCGAACTCTTCGGAGATTTTTTTTCTTTGGCAGTGTTTTTTTATATAATATAGTTTTTCAAATGCTTTTTTTGTTATAATTTCCTGTTTTTTCAAATTTCTTACTAATCAACATTTCAATCAAGGAATAAGGGAATGAGTGTGAGTGCAGAAAAAATTGTTAAAGTAAATACTTATGTTTTGCCATCTTCTAATTCTCATGGTACAAAAAATTAAAAAAAAGCAGACGATTTTGTTATAATGGAAAGGTTTTTAGTAAAAAAAGTTATTAGTATAGTTTTTTGTTCCTCTGTAGAGATGTGTTTTTAGTTTACTATAGAAAAAATTGTCGAAAACTCTCCGCACTGTACGGAGACTGCTCGGAGAGTGTGGAGGAAGAGTGATCTCTCCGCACACTTAGGAGAGATGAATTCATCTCTGCGAATTAGAGATGACAACGGTTCGGTTCGGGGTCGGTTCGGCAAAAACAATATCCGAACCATTAATTTTTTGGCCATACCATAACCGCACCATAACCATGAAAGTCGGTTCGGTTCGTTTGGTTCGTATCTCGGTTCGGCTCAGTTCGGGTCGTTAATAACCACGAAAATAAATTATTTTTAATTGGTCCATCCGTCTAATAAAAAGAAAAATGTATGAAAAAAGTCAATGAAAACAAAAACATGATACTAAGTCAATGTAGCAAACAACATCTCAAGTGAAAATGCAAAAAATATCTCAATTCTCAAATACAAAATTCAAATTTAACAAACAATATTCAATAACTCAAAAAGCTCCAACCTCAATTCATATTCAATTTTCATTCTTCCCCACAACTCTTACCCGCATACGTCAAAACTCAAAGTTGATTCCTATATAGTATATAAGAAATGTAAGTAGAGTAATAAATTAATAATTCATAATGTTCTTAACTGAAAATTTAAACAAAAAAATGTATCTCTTCGTCAACATCCTCGTCACCAAACTTTGGTTTCTGTAATTAAAGGATTCAATTTCTTGTTTATGTGTTGTTTATGCCAAAAGTCATCAAAGATGAGAGAAATTAAAATCATTTATCTCTAAAGCGGCCACAAATTGTAAAAAACTGAAAATTTTGGATATACTTTGGCCAAATCTTGTGCGAAATTCACAACAAATTCAAATAGACAAATACAAATTATCAAAAAAGAAGATGAAAAGCTCACCAGTGGCAAAAGTCTAAAGGTCGAAGGAAAAGAAAATAATGCAAACGGGCGGAGGCGGAAAAGACGACAGTCGGCACTTGGCAGACCTAGAAGACAGGAGTCGAGATTTCAATTTTCCAATAAAATGTTTGTGATTTTGTGTTAGACTGTTAGGGTTCAGGGTTGGGTACTTGGGTTTAAATTTAATTTGTTAATGGGTTAGAAATTTTGGATCAAAAAAATTAAGTAGTTAACATAGAAAATATCAAAAAATTATGGGGCCAATTATTATTAACTTATTATTTTTTCTAACGGTTAATCAGTTCGGTTCGAAGTGATGTCGTAAATACTATAACCGCCTCGCCTCGAACCGGTTCATTAAAATCAAATACCATAATCGCCCCATTGCACCATCGGTTCGGTTAACCGCGATTTTCGGTTTTAACGGTTCGAATTGCCACCCCTACTGCGAACTATTCGGAGAATTATTTTTTTTTTTAGTGGTCTTTTTTTATATAATATAGTTTTCTTTATATATTTCGTTATAATTTCCTCTTTTTTTTTCTTTTTTTTTTTTTTTTAAATTCTCTTCCTTTCATGATGTTAATCAACATTTTGTATAAGGGAAATGAGTGTGAGTGTTGAATAAGGAAATAATTTCTGAGGGAAGTGAGAAAAAGATAAATTTGAAAGCGCGGAAAGTTTCTGGAAATGTGAAAGGAACTGCAGCATGGAGAGACGAGAGACATGCAACATCCTCAAGCAAAGTAGAAAAAGCCTATGGAGAAACTAAGAATTCACGTGAACAAAATGATTTGAACGTGGTCCAAGACACGAAGGGAAAATATGAAGAAACGGGGGAGGAGACAAATGTAAAAGTGATCAAAGAACATAATGGTGAAGAGTTGAACAGTGTTCCAAATGATATCAAGCAAGATGGAGAAATGGAAGACACATTACTAGAGAAAGGAGATGCAGATCATAGCAAAATTGGTTCAGTATCTAGGAAATCAACAGACAAGGAAAATGATTTGATTAATAGCAAGCATGATACACTGCAGGGGGAAAATGCTGGCTCTGTTGTATATAGTGATCCTGGATGTGAGAAAAATGAGGAAAATATCATCAGTCAAGAAGTCAGTTCAAATGCCGAAGCTGAGGGTGAGAGTCAGAATAGTGGTCTATTTACTTTGACAGATCGCAACGAAGCAAAAGGTAATTTGCCTATAATTTTAGTATCCACATAAATACGTGGGACCCTTCCACACAAATGCTTGGGCTTATCAAAATTGTTCTTATGTTTACAGCAAATGACTGTGCAGTAACGATTTCACCAGATGAAAGCCAAGGTTCTGTGGATGATGTAGCATTACCACAGGTATCTGAATTGGAACATGATGCGGAAACTAAGTCGAAAGGCAATAGAAATGTTTCTGAGACAGATGGTGCTTTAAGTTCTAATGCGGTCAGTGCTAACAGCTAACTAATTTTTTTTCCTTAATGTAATACATGATCTGATTTCAAAATTGCATAAGAATTATTTAGGAGAACTAATGATCAAATCGGTAAACACAGTACTTCTAAATGAGATCCAAGGCAAGCAACCCCTTGTTCCTTTAAATCATAACTCCCCCAGTCAATTGTATGGGCCTCTCTTCAGCGGTCTAGATTTGTGCGGGGACTCCCCGCACAGATTTGTGTCGTGCGGGGTCCCCGCACAGATTTGTGCGAGGAGTCTCCGCACATTGGTGCGAATTGGTGCAGGGATGCCCCGCACCGGTCTTGTGGGGAGTCGAAGGACTCCGCACTAATTCCTTGCGGAGTCCCCGCACACCGCACAAAATTATAAATTAACTTTTACTTATATTCCCACAATTTTAAATCTAATTTTTACTAACTGTCAGAGAAGATTCATGTCAAAAAATTTAATTCAAATTTCAAAAGCATGTTAGGATTATGTCAAGAAAATTAAAATATCTACGTCACGCTAATAAACACACATTAAATACAATAATCGTGTAATGCACGTGGCATCGACTAGTGTTATTTAGTAATTTTTATGATTTCTTAAGAATTTGAGGACCAAGTGAGAAATTTTTATTAATTTCTGGATCCTTATCATGGGAGCAGCAAAAAGTAGAGTTAATCGGCCATGTTCTATTAAAAATTAATTTATTGTGAGAATTTTCTTTAATTTTCATTTTCAATAAAAGTTAAATATTCTCTTATAGCCTGATTTGATTTTTCTTTGAAAAGAAAAAAAGAAAAATATCCCATGGGGAACCTGACGCAAAAATGGTCCGGATTTATCTGGAGTCTATGGAATCCACACAATTTTTAATAATTTGTAAGTCAATTTTTGCATACAGATGGGTTCCACTAAAACCCATGGTTCCATCCAATCAAAACAACCTTCATGCTGGTTGCCACATTTATAAATTCAGCAACAAATTAGACTCATTCTTAATTCAACAATGCTACACACGGGATAAAAAATAGGGTTCGGATCCAAATGCCACGTGTCAGCAATTGATTGGACGGTTTAGAAAAAAAAAACACTCAGCACCTGTTTCCAATCCCGGGTGAGCAGAATTATTCTTCTTAATTGCTTGCATAGACAAATTTATGTACATACAATTGATAGGTCGTATTTGACTACAAAAAGATTATAAATTATTTCTTTGTTCCTACTAATTAGACCTTTCTCAATATAATTTCCATATTCTCTAAATTTGCACAAATTTAACTGTCTGGCTTTTGGTCTCCGAGTGCTGGTTCTTTTCAGTTCGTGTTTTTGTTGCGTCTCTATATATAAAGAGTTTTGCTACACGTACATCGGAATTGACACTTCGATGTACACTCCCCTCACATGGGAGATCCCAAAATTTTTTTATTGTCGTGGGGCCCATCCCCTCATGTGAGGGGAGTGTACATTGGAGTGTCAACTCCGATATACAAATAGCATTTTTGATAAATAAAATATAGGATAAATTTCAATAGATGGAGTCGGTCGCTGAGGGTGAGATAGAGGGATGCCATTACCGACCTTTTACAATGGGGATAGATGGATCCCATCATTACTTTGCCCTAATAGTTAATGTATTGGCCAATTGAATGGTGAACTTTATAACCATAACTACAAGAGAAAGTTATTTGGTGGAGCGTACTCAACCTTTAAGCCATTTCTTATCTCAATTTCTTTTTGAAGAGTGAAGTTGGAGTGGCATTACCTAATTTAAATGAGAAATAAATAAAAAGGAGAAATAGAAGGAAAAGGAAAATGGACAAAGAAAGTAATTACCCAAGAAATAGGAAACACCAATCTCTACGCCCATCTACTTCTCTCACTCCCACCCTTCGTGTGCAAGATGATCCCCTATTTTGGCTCTCCCCTCGCCATCCTCAACTCTACTTTAAAAACTCACATGGTTTATTTGACATTCGAAATTATTCTCACGTATCCAAAGAAGAAAGAATATTGGTACATTTAACAATTATCATAACTAGTAAATTGGCCAAAATAAATAGTGAAAATTGCCACTCCAATAAAGGGTGGTGCATAATATTTTCATAAGAGAAGTTTCACACATTTGTGTATATAATTTTTTTCAATAAAACGATGACACAGATTAACAATTTATAGCTAGAGTTAAACGCACAAAGAAAGAGCAAAAACATATTCGAATTCATCTTGAAATCTTCAACATAATTCAACTTTCTTCTACATGAAATAATACTCATCTTTTGCTATCAATTTGGCCAAGCAAGCTGCTAATTGATCTAGCTTTCACCATACCAACCTTTGTTCTCTTCTTTGTGAACTTGACTCGTTTCTTCTCGTCATCATTTTCAGTTTCTTCCAATACTTTCGAGTCGTCCACATCTAAGGCACACAAGATAGATGACATCGACCGAGTAGTCTCAGTTGAAGATGGGACTTTCATTGGTGCACTCTTAGAGATTTTGCGAATACTGGTCATGCTTCTAAGCCTCCCTTTTCCCAAATGATGCTCACACAATGCGTAGCCAACGAGGGTCGGTTGGCAGCATCTCCATCCTCTCCCGTTAACTCGACTG